ATGGTACCTCATATACTTTGGATCGATACTTGACTAACGAAGGTCATCGACTAGTAGCCTCATATTTTCGTTTAAATCAAACACAAAAACATATACAGAAAGGCACTTTTCACCAAATTACTGAAAAGGAACTTGACGAATTAATAGACTCTTATAATGGTATCACAACTCTCGCATTTGAAACGCTAAATTATCAACATTTGAGTTTAACGTTGGCTGAGTGCAAATTATTGGCCAAATTGTTAAACTATAATGCTATTACAAACATACACACCCTAAATTTATCAAGAAATAGATTGTCAGGTTCTTCGTTAAGGGTGATTCTCGATGCACTACAAAAGAATACTACGGTGTCCTTCTTGGATCTCTCTTTCAATATGATATCTGATAATGAATCTAAATGGTTAGGTAAACTGCTAAAAAAGAATAACTCAATCAAAGAACTTTCTTTAGCTTTTAATAAAATTGGTTGTGATGGTGCACGACGTATTTCAAAAGCTCTCAAAATAAATTCCACTTTAAAAAGACTTTCTCTGGAGGCAAATAGATTAAATACTCAGGGTGGTTTATTTGTGTCCGATATGTTAAAAGTGAATCGTACTCTCAAATATCTTCATTTGGGAAGTAATAATCTTCAGTTTGTTGGAATTCAGGGAATCGCTGAAGCTCTTCGAGTTAACGAGTCTCTTGTTAGTTTGAGCCTCGATGTTAACAACATTGCCATAAGTGGTTCTAAATTATTGGCTGATGCCCTAACAATCAATAAAACTCTTACTCATCTTTATATGCCACGTAATAACATAGGCGATGAAGGATTAAAACATTTATGTCAAGCTTTATTATTAAACACTTCATTAACATACCTTGACGTCGAATTTAATAACATCGGTATTCATGGTAATACTGAAGGTTCGAGTGTTTTAGGTAAATTGCTCGAGAATCATGTTGTACCTCGTGCAATTAATCTATCTCATAATCCAATCGGTAGCAGTGGTTGTGAGGCTCTTTTTGTTGGTTTTCATAAAAATAAGACCTTGGAATCGATGGTCCTTTCTTATTGTAGCATTGGCTTTGAAGGAATCAATGCGGTAGCTGAAGCGTTGAAATCGAATCAGTGTTTACAAAATCTTTCCCTTTACAAAAATAGTAATATCGGTGCTGATGGACATTTAGTTTTGGCTAAAGCTTTGGAACAAAATACAAATTTGAAAAGGGTACAATTAGACTACAATTTTGAGGATTGGGAGGCTGTCGGAAATTTAATACAAGGTTATTTAACAAGAAATATTCTTCTTCAACAAGAAAAATATGATGTAGCTTGTCGAATTTTGAAAGCTGCTAGGATTATGTTAAACACTTCTGCATACCGTACCACAACTACCAACAATTCTACCCCTTTAGCAATTTCTCGGCGTAGCTTTTCAATCAGATCAAACATATCTAATTCTATCATTCTGTCATCGCCTTTTGTCATATCATTTATGTATCTTCCTTTCGAAATTCAAGAGAAAATCTTAGTTTCGCTTGACACTAACCAAGTGCTTACTCAACATCAAGCTATAATAATTTTAAATTGGTCGGTGAGGAAGGATACTCTTGGAAAAAGTATGGAAGAATTTCTGATAAGGACTTTTGGTGCTTATTATCCATTAACTAACGATATTAGACTTTGGCCAACAGAAGCTAATGATAAAGATGCTTTGATTTTTGATCGATTTTAAGGACTATCACTAATGCAACTATTTATTACATTACCATCCTTTCGTATCATAAAAACATCCACAATTTTATAAATATTATATGGTGTTTTATTATCTGACGCCCAGGACAAAATTTGTCCTCCTTGTATAATATAATCAAGACTGGCATTCTTTAAGAGTGCAAATTACCCAGGCATCAAATTTGTATAAAAAAATTATGGAGTCACCTACTTTTTATAAATCCATAATTATTTTATTATATATAAATACTATTTTACATATATATACATATATATAATTTATACGTACATACGCACATATCTTTATTGAACATATACGGGAATAAAATTATATTAAATAATATAAAAAAATTTTTACGTATAAATCTTGTAATGATGACATGTTCCCTTCCTATTATAAGTGATCGGCATAGTAATAATACTTGTTATCATGCTTCGTCAGATTATTTCATCCAAATTTGCAAATCACGCTGAGAGAATTCGTGTTATTCGCACGTTTTCGACGAGCGTGCGGTCTTTACAACCAGTTTCGTCCGTGAATTCCCTTAATATAAAACGCACAACCCCATTATTCATTAATGGTGAATTTGTGGAATCGAAGACGGATAAATGGATACCATTGTATAATCCAGTATGTTTTATAAATCTCGGTTCTTTATTCTTGCGAATATTAATTCCCAAAATTCACTGTTTAATTTATTCTTTTAGGCAACAAATGAGTTGGTTACTCTCGTTCCTGAAACCACCCCTGAAGAATTAAAAGTTGCTGCTGATACTGCTGCCGAGGCTTTCAAGACTTGGAGAAAATCTTCTGTTCTTTCGCGGCAACGTATCTTGTTAGATCTTCAGCTTTTGATTCGAGAGCATACAGACAAGCTTGCAAAATCTATCACTGAAGAACAAGGAAAAACCTTTGCTGACGCGAAGGGTGATGTTTTACGAGGAAGGCAAGTTGTTGAAACCGCTTGTGGCATTACTAATTTGCTTATGGGAGAGCAATTGGCCGTTGCTACTGACATGGACACATTTACAATTCGGGAACCATTGGGTGTTACTGCTGGAATTTGTCCTTTTAATTTCCCTGCAATGATTCCATTATGGATGTTTCCTTTATCAATTGCTGCGGGGAACACTATGATCATTAAACCTTCAGAACGTGATCCAGGTGCTGCAATGATTCTAGCCCAATTGGTCAAAGAAGCTGGCGTACCAAATGGTGTTCTCAATATAGTTCATGGTTCTGTTGATGCTGTAAACTTTATATGTGACAATGAACATATAAAAGCTATCTCTTTTGTCGGAAGTGATCGCGGTAGCTTTCTATATATATATATATATGAAATCTTTTAAATCGGATGAACATTATTGACAGGCATATATGTTTTTTTATCAGCCGGAAAATATATTTATAAACGAGGGACTGCAAATGGAAAACGGGTGCAAGTTTGTATAGAAATTTATACCTTAGTTTATTATTTCTATATAAATAGTAATTTTTATTTTATTTAAATTTATCAATAGGCCAATTTAGGTGCGAAAAATCATGGCGTCGTTATGCCCGATGCCAATAAAGTTTGTGAATTTTATATTCTTGTAATTTGTTATTTTAAGTGACCACTGGTTTAAAACATTGTTATGTTTTGATAGAATTATACGCTAAATCAGCTCGCCGGCTCCGCATTTGGTGCTGCTGGACAACGTTGCATGGTAATATTCGTTTATTTCTATTATTTTGATCTTTGCAAAAAAAGAAGTCCGGGAGCTATGTATATTTACGAAAAAAAATTTGAATTGGTCGGATATTTAATGGTCCAAATTGGATAGACCTTTTTTATCATTATTCATTTTATATGGCTAATTTATTAGATGGCCAGTAACTCCGATATGTACTCAAATCTATATAAATAGATATATACATAGCTCCAAAGAGCCATTTATTTCAAATACTCGACGTATTTATATTATTCGATATATAATCAGAAAATTACAATATTGATGCCTTTCCAACTTTTCTAGGCATTGTCTACTGTTGTATTTGTCGGTAAAGCAAAAGAATGGTTACCAGAACTCGTTGAACGTGCAAGTAAACTTAAAGTTTCGGGTGGAATGGAACCTGACACAGACCTTGGACCTTTGATAACGCGTCAAGCTAAAGAACGCGTTGAAAACCTAATCCAGAGTGGTGTTGGTCAAGGTGCAAGATTGATATTAGATGGACGTAACCCAGCAGTTCCAGAGAAGTACAAGAATGGAAACTTTGTCGGTATGTATAGCTCATTTCGTTTTTAAAAATGCCGAAACTCTCAGTTTACGAGATTGATACATATATAGGACCAACCATTTTGGCGGATGTTAAACCTCACATGGATTGCTACAAGGTCATTAAGATGTATGACGTATCTTATTATAGTTGTAATTTAATTATCTAACTTTTAGTTGTTAAAAAACAAAAACTTATAGGAGGAAATATTTGGACCTGTTCTTATTACTTTAAATGCTGATACTCTTGATGATGCTATTAAATTAATCAATGATAATCCTTACGGAAATGGCACCGCTATATTCACAAGCAATGGAAGCAATGCACGTTATTTTACAACTTCCATTGAAGTTGGACAAATTGGCGGTATTAATTCATTCTTTTCATTTTTTTAGCCAATTTTGCAGAGTTTTCTAAATTTTTATTACTTGGATATAGTAAATGTGCCAATTCCGGTTCCCTTACCAATGTTTTCATTTACCGGAAATAAGGCTTCTATTCAAGGAGATGTTAATTTCTGCAAGTATTTCTTATTATCTATATTAAGTTCGATATATATATATATTTGTATTTATTTATATGGAAAATTGGAAAATTAGACGGAAGAAGTGGGTTACAATTTTATACACAAACTAAAACGGTAACTTCTTTATGGAGACATGAAGATGTTGATCACACAAGATCAGCTGTGACAATGGTAAGCAAACTTTTTTGCATTGCAGTTATGTTTATGTTTTAATCGTACTACATTAAGAAATTTATTCCTTCTATAAAAGCCGACGATGCAATAATTATTGTAAAGATTTTTTATTTTTTTCATTTATATATTAAGCCAAATTTATATTTTAGTCTATAATACAAAAGTTCGTAATATATGTATATATACGAAAGTTAGTCTGAAATTAAAATTTTGCCATTAAGAAAAATTATAATAAATAAATATTTAATTTATAATTCTAATGAATGAAATACAATTGTTTTCTGAATTTTTTGTTTAAAAAAACTATTAAACTTTATAAATCAGTTCGTGAAAGTTGGTAAGATTATCATGTCTTTGTGAAGGTCCTTCAATGTTTCAAGCATTGGATTTCGATAAGGAAAAAATGAGATAAAATAGTTTAACGGTGATATCTATTAAGATAATGTTAATATTAAATCTTCAATTTATTAAACTTGTATTAGAAAATTATTAAAACTAACCCATTTTGCTAAGTGCGGGGGCCATAACTTTTCAACTTTATCTGTTCCGTCATCAGGTTTCTTAAGATATGCCGGTCCATGATTTCGAAAAACTTGATTCCTCAATACAATTCTAATATTATATAAGCTCTCAATAGCTTGCAAAAGACCATAAATAATGACGAAAGTTACAATATGCACTTACCCAAATAACAAACTAGCTAACTGAAACCAATTCTCTCCAGTCTTAATTGTGGAATAATAAACTAACTGGTCAACAATGTAGAAATATTGGAATTCAAGGTCTAGCAGTTTTTTCTTAAAGTCCTATTTATTGAAAGAATAACTATGGTTAAATAAGTTCACGTTACGAAAAATATGATCTCGGACCATACCTCATCGTTACAAGTACCAAGTAAAGAAAGGTTCTGAGAATTACGATTAAAATCATTCAAGAAGTTCACAGTACGATTTTCAAGAACACCAAAAGCGTATGAAGATTTATAACCCGATGTTAGCTATATAATAAGAAGAAAAAAAACAATGTGATATAAAATTTAAATACAAGTGTAATGCAAGATTTTTTAAATATGAACCTGAAAATTTTTAAAGTAACCAAAGCTTATTCTAAGTGGTATCCAATAATTTTCCGACGGACGATTTCGGTTATATACTGTAACATACTCTTGAATATATTTTTCCTTATATTATTTAGAATAAAACGAAATAAAATGAATTAGCCTTTTACTTATCGTGATAAAGTTTATAGCAATATATCGAAGTAACGGATATGAGCGTCATTTTGAATAAGAGCTTGGATTAAACTTAATTCAGGCACCATTCGAAATCACACCCTGAGCGTTATTTCATAAATATACGGTGATGCTACACACCCTCCGCACGCTTTCAGCGTTTTTAATTAGAGCTTCAACATTTGGCCGTACAATAATGTGTTGATCTGATTTTGGTGTCACCTTATTACTGGCACGAGAGACATCCAAAATGAAATACATTGTGTCATTTACTATTTCATATTCTAGTATAGTCTCAAGTAAATTCTTAATCGTAATTTCTCGATCATCTTTATCAAATTCCACAGTAAATTCATCATCATTGCAACTAGAATCTTTTCGATATATTTTTCCTAATTAAAAAATAACTACTGATTAATAAAAATCACAGAGTAACGTGATATTCATGTCCTTACCTGTCAAAGCTTCGGAGTCCTCGTACTCCACTTGTAATGACGGGATTTTGCATTCTGCTTTTAGTTTAACAGTTTGCTGATAATCCTTAACAAGTCTACAATTTACATATATTTCAATTATTTTTTCCTCTATTGATTCGGGATCTCTTAGTTCCTTATTGTCAAGTAATTTTTGAATTTCTCGAGAAGGAAGTGGTCGGAAACGGATATAGACTCGTACATTACTTTCTGGTTCAACAGTAAGCGTTTTAAATAATTTTGCGGTGATTCTTGACGTGGAGAACACTATTTCGGTCGGATCATCATAATCGAGATTTGTTTGAAACTGTTAAACAGAAATGGAAAATAAACAACGATGCATGTAAATTTCTTTCATCTTTCAAATACAGTAATTTATAACATACAGTAAACTCAAGGGGAACTGTCTCTCTATTATAAATCACCATGCTGCGAGCAGAATATTCAGAACCATAAAAAAGGTTGAGCATCTCAATCCAGGTATGACCAATATCTACGCCGTTCACGTAAATATCAAAGACGTGATTATTAGGAAGTGGCGCACTTGTCCCTCGTCGCAAATTTTGGCGAGCGACAACCTATAAACATCAGAATGATAAGATAAAACAATCCGATTAATTATTGTACAATAAACATACAAACCTCCATCATAACTCTTATAGTCTTGATATCTGAGGGATTACTCAAATTTTCGATAATTAAATAAGTTGAATGGACATTTCTGGTATTTGTAAAAAAACTCAGTGTGATTGTATGTGCATCTAGACGTTGCTTATAATCATCTACTGACGCCTCTAATGTTCCTTCAATTCGGTTAATATTAAGCCAATTTTTATCACTTTCGAAAACCGTTTTAATGCGGTAAGAAATTTGTTGAGAAGTTGAATTCTCAAGTGTTAGTTTTTTTACAATGGTAGGAGATCCGAGATCTTGTTGTCCAAGGTCCAGTTCATATCGGCCACTAAGGTCAGTGGATCCTCCAATTCGTTTGCACCCGCGGAGAGTAATATGAGGAAGGCCGGATGAGGATTCCTGATACATGTGGATACCTTCCAATGAAGGTGTCAAAGGTTTCCCAATAAAATCAATTTTTTCTAATGCTGAAGAATCAGATAATTCTTCTGATCTGTGTATTCTCTTTATTTTGTTGCGATTTTCTCTAATGTCGGATTCAATATTAACAAGAATAGTTTTCTTTTGCCCGCAGAGTGATAGTAAATCTATGATATGAATCTTGATGTCTTCTGATACTGCTACTGCAGAATTAACAAAATCAATTCCTAGCAAGAGCTTTTGACCTGCTTCTACAGTACCACATCCATTTTCATCCAAAGGAGTAATATTAAAATCTTTCGAAGAAAATTCCATAGGCCCCTCAATTTGAACTTTGAAAAAAAGGGGAATTTTATCTGAATTATTAGTAATAGTGACCGAATTATTTTGGATAGACGTATCTTCTGAGTCGCTTATAACTAAAGCCTCTACCGGTATACATGAAGATGCTTTTTGCTTATGAATTAGGGTCAATTGACTTTCAGAGTAGTCTTCGTCAGTAATTTCGCTATCTGAAGACCATGTAGTCTTGAATCGAATTCTGTTTGGAGATATAGAAAACATTGAGGATTCAGCAATAATACCACGAATAGGTATATTCTCAGCAACTTTTTGATCCGCATTATCATTGGTCTGTTTTGTTGCAACCCAAAGATTTCCAAAGATGATACCTTCATTATCTGTGAGATAAGATAGCTCACGAGGTATACGATTTTCTTCAATTGGGTAAATGCGCACTCTGACTTCCATAGAACCATTACCAATAATTGATACTACTCCTACTAACGGAGAATTAGAATATCTAGAAAGAACTTCAACTTTTACATATTGAGATATATTAGGCTTAAGTTCTACACCAATTTCGAACCGGATGTCTTGATCGCTCACATTAATGATCGTGAACCAGGCATCACATGGAACGTCTGATGAAGGAATTGGATGGTAAAGAGTGGGCATTACAAATTCACCATGCGTTAAACGATTAAATTTGAGCTCAAACAACGTGAGAATTGATTTAACTTTTAAAGTTAAGACATTCGAAGGGTTGTACATATTAAGAATATTAACTATAAATGTGCGTTCACCAGCAGCAAAATTGGGTATTAGACGAGGCTTAAGTGTTGCCATGATAATTTTGTCAGCACGTGGCTCTACTGTATGCTTAAGAACAACCCCTTGATTAGCACAGTTGGAATTATCATCCATCTCAATATAATCAGGACTTTCTAATTCATAATTTAGTGGTATGTCAGACACATTCCTAACAGTGAATTGAAACTTTACGTCAGACCAAGAGTTTGAATAACCTATTCGTCCAATATTCACTATAGGTACGCTCAATTCTCCTCTTGAGACACAGAATACAGAACAAAGATCAACCAATTTTACGACTAGATTTTGGATTGAATCAATCAAAAAGAATACACCTCGAACACTAACATTTTTTCCATTTGCAATCATAATTAATTCTTCTTGAGTTAAAAAGCTTGGTTGTGGACAGCTTATATAAATACGTGCTTTATCTCCAGGCTTTAGTTCAAATAAAGGTCCACAGATTTTGAATGGAGAATAATCTTGCTGTAGCCTATCATCTTGTCTTTCAATCGCTCTAACGTTATCAAAAGGTTCCCACCGAGTCACTATATCTAGGTCACTCAATGGGAGAATCTGCATAACATGAGACGGTGATTTATTACAAATTTCAGCACATTGTTCATATAATGGAACGGAGGTCTCTCGATGTTCTTTTTGAATGAAAGCTTTAAGTTCTTTCTTTGTGCACTCCTTAACATCTGTCTCAATGGGCAAATTTGATTCAATATGGCTGATTGCTGCAAAAATGTTCTCCCAAGAAATTATTGGTAAAATTTCAGAGTTTTTTGGCTTTCCATTATCAAATAAATTGGCTTTAGATATAGAAAACTCATTCTCAGTAAAGAAAGAAAGATTGTCTGGGTCAACAAATAGTCGAATTTCAACTTCAACAACTTGATCTGCATTATTTTTGTTTGTTACAACGACCTTGTCGCGAAAAAGCCCGTACTTACATGATGTAACACGAAAATTAGTAAGAGCTAAGGATTTATCATTAATACTATTTTTATAAGTAGTTTCTTTAATATCAGATGACATAATATTATGACTTGAAGAATCATATGAATTGTATTTACATTCCCATCCCTCAAGTGTGCCACCCGAACGGTCCAAGATGATATTACCACTATGACATTCAACCATGTAATCTAGCGGAAGACGACTAGACATATTACGCACAGTGAATGAGCCATAGAATGTGTTGCCCATAACTCTAGTCGAGCCAAGGTTTATTAGAGAGTCCGAAACTGACATTATGGAACGACCAATTAAAGACGTAAACTTGACTGTCTGTGTGATTATAGTAAACAACTCTAGTGCAGATTCTTTATGTTTCATATCTACAGCATTATGATCAGAATTTACGATCTGGGATCTATCGACTTCCTTAATTTGGACTGAAAATTTAATGCCACCGATTAATACACGACACTCGCCATTTGCTATCGCATTTCGGTCAATTATGCTAGTACCGATGGGCGTGTTTCCTAATGAATTCACTGCATTACCATTATTCCCCCTGGACGCTGCAAGGCCTCCGTTAAAGAGATTGGGCTGTAACGCGACCCAAACCGTCATCATTGTCTTTTTTCTAAAAAAAGTCTCAACAACTTGGCCACGCTCACCATTTTCATCAAGAAAAACTGACACTTGAACAGATAAATTACTTTGACAAGTAATAAAAACGTCTTCATCAGTAATATTTTCCACTATAAGAGGAGTAACTTGTGAATATTTTCTTCCAGGGTCCACATAACAATACCCTAAATTTAGCTCATCTTCGAGTGAAGGGAATGATAGATATTGAGCATAATGGATATAACCATGAAGAGTAAAGCTGTATTGAGCCTGAGTTTCACAATTTCGGACAATCAATGAATGCTTTTGGCGACCAACATCAGTTGCAATGACTGCAAAATCAATACGACGTGTTTCTTGAGCTGATAGTTTTCCGCATTTCTCATCAATTTGAAAAAAAGAACACTCGCTTTCCGAAACAATAATTTCATATTCTAACAAACTATCACCTTTGTTGGTCAACTTAAAGTAATAATTGTGATTTTGATTAACTTCAAGTTTCCCAATATCAAGAACTGCCGGCTCTAAACTTAAATTTTCAGGTAAATAATCATCCTTTTCGAAAGAATTTGCATACGAAATGCCTTCTTGTAATGGTCCTAGCGATGGTGAATGAGCTGAAGATCTTGAAGTTAAATAATAGCTCTGAAAAGCTGGAGGACTTATTGCATTGGGTGTATTACGTAAAGATGGAGAATTTGACCTTTCCTTTAATATTTGTTCAGATATGTCTGTGGCCGTAGTAGAAAACTCTGTCTCAGAACGACTCTCACTATTATTAGATACGTTATTTAATGCCTGTAAATAACTAGAGTCATAACAAACTGTAGCTCGAAAACTAATAGTCTTAACGACATCGGTGTTTTTGTGCTCATGCACATATACTTGACCAGTAATTTGTTCGAAAGATATTCCTTGGCCCGCAGTTTCCTCACTGGTTGAACTTGGTAACATGCTGGTAGCAATGGCCCTAAAATATAAAAACACCGTTTTTGTAGTCTGAGGCTCAATAGAGAAAATAATTGACGTAGACGTCTTTTTATAGTTTGCATCTTTTCCTTTACTATAATTAGAGCTGAAAACGCGTTTAGCAGGGTGATCTGTCAATTTTTCTGCACGTGCCGGTTGTCTGCTTTGTATAAAATTGTTTTCGTTAGGACGTTCATTGGTTGTGCTACCTAATGATGTTTCTTCAGAAATTGTTTGTTGTTCATTACTAGCACAATTTAATTTTTCTTCCTTCGACGTAATGCCATTTACAAAATCTACAGTAACATCATTAACTAATTCATTTGAAGTTTTCGAATCCTCGATTCCTGATTTCCCTCGTCGCAGTGTCTCTAATTGTTTTTCAATTTGCTCCACTTTGCCAGTGTGACCTTTGCGTCTCGCAATTTTAACTTTTTGTTCCAATTCTTCAATTTTTTCTTCCGTCTCCTTGCTGAGAATTCCACCAGTTGATAATGCACCATCAACTTCTTCCAGAGGAATAAAATTCAATTCACCAACACATGCACTAAATTTTAGATCACGTGGATTAATTCGCACCTCAAATGTGCGTGATTGCTTATTAGTGTTGCTTACTACAATGCTCTGTGCGACTGGTATATTGTCATTAATTAGACATGCACCAAAATCAATATTTGATGGCTGGATAGAAAAGTTAAATGGTTTACGTATATCTGCTTTTACTGAAAGCATTTGATTATTATCATGATCTTGGATATTTTCAATAATAAACCTCTCATAAAATTGACCCGTAAACCTGGGTTTAAAAGTGAACTCTACTTCTTTACTTCCATATCCACGGACGACTCCTAATTGGCCTGCACCAAATACAACGTCTCTAGATGTAATTGATCCAGATTTCCGTATATTATATAGCAAAGGCACTTCACTTCGATTTTGAATGAGTATGGTCTTATTTCTACGCTCACCCTTATCTATTATTCCAAAATTAATGTTTTTTTGCCTAAGAATCATATACGATCTACATAATGTAGCATTCACCATAAGCTCCCTGACAGGAATTTGATTTTGATTACCATGAAGCAAACCATCAAACTGAGGCTGCTGAATGTCACGATCAAAATCTATTAAACGTATAAATACTTTAGCATCGCACTTTTTCGGTAACCCTTGTACATTTGGTCGCAGCATTTGCTTTGGTGTAAAGATTACTATGATCTGACTTTCACCGGAGGGAGGAATTTCTACCATTTTAATTGGAACAATATGATATTCTTTTATCCGGTTGCGTAATTCTCGCATAAGACCAATCTGTTTTTGCACGTAAGCTTCTTCAACTGATGACTTAGGAAACAACGGCGGAGTTGTGATATTATTGGCCTCGAGGGTTGCGATTAGCGAGTCTATTGACATATTAGAAAATGTATATCTATCTACAGCCTTATTTTTGGCATAATTTCCTTTCGTAAGTATTAGGTTAGTGCTTTCAGAATCATGATCCAATTTATCTCCTAATGACTCATCGCCAATATTACTCTCGCAAATATCAGAATTCGCTTTATCAAAAGCAGCGCTTGGAACATTAGTAGAGCCGGCATTGAAAGCACAAACACTGCCAGAACCACCTGTAGAAACAGGTACAGCATAACTTTCTTTTATTCTTTCGATCGCGGGACTTATGCCTGTTTTACTTATCGGTGTTTTTTGTTGCCTCCTTCGTGAAGAACGACGTAGGTCTATGGACGTAAGACCTGCTAAATCAAGATAATCCGTGTTATATGTTGTCCCCTCAGCTAGAGATACATCAGATATGTTTGGAATGAGTCGTTTATTGGATATACTATAATGAGCTTCTTCCGTCTTGATTTCGGCATTTACTGTAGACAAATTTGCTATATTTATATTTTTTCCAGTAGAATCAGTAGTCAAAGGATATTTTTTTGCTAGTCGACGTTCACAAATAGATTTTAATAATTTCTCTCTTTTGTCTATTTTGGAGCAATTTGAATCAATTTCTCCATTCCTTCCAAGATTACCATCTGAATCTGTAAGTGCATTCATAACGATATCTCCTTGACTGCTAAGGTCATCAGTTTTTTTACGTTTCTGATACATGACTATCTCTTCGGGTAAGGAGGATGTTATCTCAAGAACTAATTTCTTTGTGCTAATGTTATCAATCGTAAAAGTCCGGATGGATGGTGAATTTAGCACAGTATATCCAAAATCAATGAAATTACTGCCATTTGATGTTAACGTTCGATAAAATAAGGAATGAAATGTGACGCGATTCTTGTCAATGTTCGTACTTCTAACCTCAATTATCTGGTCATTATCTCGATTTTGTAAATTAACAACGGTGATTTGCTTACGATATTCCACGTTCACTTTTCTGGGATACATATCAAGCTTGACCTCCGTTGAAAGCTTTGGTGGGATAATGATTTCTTTACGAGTACAATATAGCACTTTTGAATCAAATCTAAGTTCAACGCGCGCAGTCAACTCTGATAAATTTGCAATGGTAATCGGCATTGATTTAAGAGTGCCAACATCGGTATCTCCAAAATTAACTTCCTTTGGACTGACTTCAATGAATGAAGTGCAGCTGCGAGCTTTACATTGAATAATTTTGCGCCCTTGGCCGACTGTATTTAAGCTGGTTGAAATAGCATTGATAGGAGTATATTGTACAATAATTCGAAAGGTTTTACGAGTAAGTAGAATAGCATTGAAGTCTGTGGCTGAAGAATCTTTCTCTGGACGATAAGACACCTGAACAGTACGTTCCTTTCCGGGTTTAAGACGGAGCTCCTCTATTTGAGCGAACCCATCAGCAACACTGATACCAAGATCAGACTTCCTAAAGGAATCGCTAATTAAAAAGCTTCGCCCAGATATATTTTCAGTTTCCAAGTCCGAATCTTCCATAACACTGGTGCGATGTCTGCTCGCTGACCTTGATGCAGCCTCTGATGATGGCTCACTGACCACGCTTATATTCTCAGGAGAAACTAATCCATCGGACTCGTGGGCTGGAGCAATTGGAGACATCGATCTAGAACTAACCTCACTGCCAGGAACTGAAATCTCACTAACTAAACTAGAATTGATATTATTTACTAGAGATATATTGCTTGAAATGTTTGTATCATTGAACTTCTGATGTAATGGTGCCATGTCTTCCAAATCTTCGATATGAGCACTCGTATTAATATTATCATATTTTGTTAATTCATTAGTAATTAGATGAAATGATACATCTGCACTTTCAGATGTAAAATGGATTTCCAGGAGCCCTTCACTGACATTTTTTAACACCAATTGTTGTTTGCTCCAGACACCAGCGCAGCAATCTCCAAAATCGAGGATATTACCGCTGCTAATGACTAATGACTCTTCACTTAACACTGTTCTAACAACTGAATGAATCCTGCTTTGCAAAACATTTGCAGGGTCATTTGCATTTTCAAGTTGGAGGTCGTAATTAAATTCACCAATTTCCTTTGGTCGAAATGTGACTCTAATCCTCCTATGAGAATAGCTTGGTATTGGTTTTGTATCCAATAACTCTCCAGTATCATAATCTGTAAACTTCAACCAATCTTCACGTTTAGAATAAGACAAGTCAACTGTATTTAAAAGCCAATATAATTCGATTTCTGATCGATTCCAAATAGTAAAATCCTTAAAGTAAACGCCACCGTTCACACAGTCATCAAAGTTTATTCCAGTCTCCCCAACGTCCGTCCACAACACGGAACGGCACACTGTGGAACGAAACTTGACGGTAATCTGTTGATCTGCTCTGGACGTGCCACTGATAGTCTCTATGTCACGATAAGGCGCGCCTTCTATATCGGATTTGGATAATTTGTTATCCAAGGATGAAAATTGAATACATTCGGAATCTTTTCCTTTGTGATATAATGATATCATAATAATAGTAATAATAATGATAATAATAAATCGTATAAAAGGTAAGCTTAATTGCACACGCAATGTAATTTAAATAACATTTATTGAAATTGAATCAAACCTATGTCGACTTCCATGGTCGAAGATGTCGAAGAGTAAGTATTTACATCATTTTCTTCTTGCCTGTCAACCAAATAAGCAAAAAAAAATAAAAGACCATTGACTTCAAAAAAATCAAAAGTTTCATTTTCTTCAAGTGATGGTGTAAATAGATTAGCATTAACTCTTGGATCCTCAACTTGATTAGAGTTCATCGTATTAATGGACACACCGTTGATGTCATCCACAGATGAAGGTGTCGAAGAACTATTGGCAGCGGATCTTCGACTTTTGTGACGATGGTCTGGTAAAAAAGCCAAAATAACCCTTTGAGAGCATCCCGGAGCGATTTCTACTTCGTCTATATGGTTTACATAATTAAAAAGTTGATTGAATTGATGCCCATTGACATTATCTCCAAATGCTCCAGCAGCTGCTGCAGCGACTGTATTTGTAGTGATATTGGTCAGTGGATCTCCTGGCTTCGTACCAAGTAATATATCATTCTCAGGGACGGGTGAAATATACAGTGACGGTGAATTTGACGAGTCATTAATTTCCTTTGGGATTGGTGAACCTGGCCTCAATTCAGGAAGATTTTCATTGGTGAGTTGAAACGCGACCTGGGAACCAAGGTTGGAGCGTAGTTTGATAAGGATAGTGTTTTGTGTTATGTTGCGAATTTCAAAGTGCCTTAAAGCATGCAATCCGTTTAGATAAACTTTTTCCAGCATAAGACGGCTGGGCATATTCATTAATTCGAACAACGGTGGGGAAGCGTGATGAACAATCGAATTGGGACGTAGAGGAAGACATCTATCATTGATTTTAGCAGCCATCACTACAGATCTATTATTGTAGAGGAAATCCAAAACTGAAATATCCTGAAATACTGTGAAATTTTTCCTTCTTTCGCTCACAACACTTATTAAAGAAGGAATATGTTAATAGCCCAACAGTGCCAACCGTGTATGTACAAAACTGCATGGTCCTTTATTGCTGACTATTCATGAGGACTATAAAATTGTCCTCCTTATCAAATTTCGCTTAGGAATTCAATTTTCTTTTTTTTTTTTTATTTGAATCTAATATCACGTGCTCATGATTATCGCCTGACGTTAATGCTTTATTGTTAAGACCATGCACAGTACAGTACGCAAAAATTTTTAGAATATTCTAGATCAAATCATGAAAGTATCCTTATCTCAAAATTTTGATTATGAAACTTTCTTTCGCATCCTAACAAAAATTGTTCCTTGCACAATGTTGCATATAACTAATTTATAAATGCTACAAGTATTATGTGTATTACAACTATCGATATTTTGCAATTTTTAATGCAATGTAATCACGTGATATTATGTTTACCAAATTGTGGTTTTTGATTGGCCAATCTTGTAAATTAATATTTTTATACAACTACCTCTTATATAATTTACTGAACATATAATTTGAGTTACATGTTTTTTTCAGTTTATATACTAGTGATTGGAACCGGTTTTATTTTCATCAACCGGTTTTATTAATTTTTCTAACATAACAACCGAATATAAATCGGTTATATTATCTCTGGTTAAATCTGATTAATCGGTTATAACAATCCAGTTAGATCCGATTAATCGGTTATAATAATCCGGTTGAATCCGATTAATCGGTTATAATAATCCGGTTAAATCCGATTAATCGGTTATAAAATCCGGTTGAATCCGATTAATCGGTTATACTAATTCGGTTATATTCGATTAATCGGTTATAATAATCTAGCTAAATTCATTATATTATAACCAGAATAAATTAAGATATTCCAATAAACTGTCTGATTATTATTGTGGTTTGTAAAATTACTAGTGCGATAGGTGGCGCATTCACACCACCTATCTTATTTAGTATTTTTTTTAACATTATAGAACTTAATTATCATGTATATAAGTGCTTTTTTTCATCTTTGGTTAAGAAAGAATAGATGCTTTCAAATTCTTCTCCTAGATAAAAATGACAAAAATTCACATTCTTTTATAATAAATGCTTAATAAATCATAAATATCTAAATACCTAATTTATTGTCCAATTCATATAACCCTTTTAAAAGCCAACTATTAAAATTAAACTTAATATAAAAATACTAAGTATTCTCTTATAATAGTTATACTACAAAATCATGAGATAAAAGAATATAAATTTTGTGAACAGTCGATTTAATTTTGTAAAAAAAATTCTAGTAATTTCAAATCTTCAAATTCAATCAAGTTATTACTAAAGATAGTCTTTATTACTCATATATATTTTTACTATATATAAAACAAATTTACTTAAATTGTTCTATTCTTCTCAATAATTTTGACCTTATTTTAAATAACAATTTTAAAATAATATTCATACCTGCTATTTCAAGAATTACAACTAGTGATATGCGCATATAGTACTATATGCATAGTATGATACATACTGTATATTGTAAATATAAGGTCTAATAAAATGTTAACTAAATAATCTAATCTAACCAAACAAATACTATTATACTAACTAGAATAAAGTTTCAAAAATGGTAAACATTAATCAAAATATAGTGAAACTTGGTCTAAGGTATTAGAACTTGATTCTTGTCAGAATAATTCTTGGATTTCTTTTTATTTCTTTTAAGAGTTTACTTGATCTAAGTTATAATTTTTAGTACTATCAGTTCTATTTTACTTTATTTTTCAGTCTTTCTTTTATTTTAAAGTTACATATTATAAGATTTTGATAATTTCAACTAATTAATATAATCATAATTATGATAATATTTGATCAGAGTTTGATTTTATTTCTTTATAAAAATAAGCCTAATTACTAATTATGGTTCTTTTTTGTATTTCTTTATTTTCAATTGATTGATAACTTTGAGAATACAAAAAATATGAATTTTATTAAGAGTGATTTATAGTTCAAGAGAATAAGTTTTAGAGTTCTAACTTAACTAAATTAAATTTTTTTTATTATTACTAAGGTGAATCTTTTATATTTTCTAATCTCTAATAATTACAGTAGGGCTAGGTTTATTTTACTAACAAGTTTTTCTATAATCATATTGATCATTATGTACATTTTGTATATATGTATAAAATATACAAATTAATAGCTCTAATAATAATAAATACATAGTGATAATAAAAAAAAATGCTGATATAAACACTTAAAAGTCTTTTACAATATATTGTATATTAAAATTTTTTAGGCATTATATAGCATTAAGTATGAATTTAACTATTATAATATTCTTAATTCAATTTGAAAGAATTATTTTATTTTATTAGAGAATAAAGCTAGTATTTACTAATTTTTTATAATCACAAGCCTAATTTATATATCAAATATATTATAAATGTTCAAATTTCTAGCACAAAACATACAATTTATAGAATTATATTGCAATAATTACAGTATTAAAAACTGTTATAAATTAAAATATTATTCTTGTAATAAAAACAAATCAAAATGAACTTTATTATATTTTAAAAATAAAACCTTATTCACTAAATTAGATAACAAACAAGTTTATTTTGATGAAATATGATAACTAGCATCAGAAAATAATCTTTTGCTCAACATTGAAGTTGCTAAAATAGAGAGATATTTTCATGCTAGCTGAGATAAAACAGACAAGCTATTTTTATTTTGTAACTACTATTCTAAAGGATCTTTATTAAGTTTAATTTCTTTCATTCTTGCATATTATCTTACTTTCTTTTGTATCAGTTTGTAAAAAATTTGTTTTCAACTCATGAAAAAAGTCACTATTATTGTCATCATTATCATTGTGATCCTTTTCTTCAATATTATTTGAAATAACAAGTTTTATTTTTAATTTTTCATATAGGACTTCTACTAAATTCTGCATTTTGTTTCATTCAATAGATGTTGTCTAATTAAAATGCTTAAATCTAAGATCGCGAAATGTGACAACTAGAGCAATATTGGATAGAAAATCCTATAATTTATCTATTAACAAATAAATAGTAGCACAAACTCTTCTAAGCAAACCAGTAATGGCAACTGGCAGCAAATATTCTACTTTATCTATATTTTCAAACTCAGTATTATTAGGTTATACACATATTTTTTTCTTTTGTTTTCTATCACAAGCAACTATTTTTTGATGAAATTGTCTATATGCATATTGCCAATATTTATGAGTACTAGTAGCAAGAATATTATTATTACTCATTTTATCACTTTCATTCTTTTCACTTATATTATCAGTATTTTTATCATAAATAAGATTCAAATAAGTATCTACAGTCTCATCTATCTTTGGAGCAAATATTTTCTTAAATAATTTTATATATAGATAAATAAGATTAATAATTAGGTATTTGGCATCACATAAATATTAAGTTACTTTTTCAATTGGTTTCAGTAAGTTTACTATGTTTTGCAAAAATCTAATTAAAATAAAAATATATATATATATAAATTTCTAATTTTAGATATTATACTTTAAAAAATAAGGCTTATCTACTATTTAAGAATTGAAATTTAATATAATATTTACTAATAATATTATTTAGCTTAAAAAGAATTTAAAATTCAAAAACAATAAAAATTTTACAAAAAATAATTTACTATATAATAAAATTTAATTTCATAAATAATATTTTGAAATTTACTCTTTTTTATCAACTAATAAGCATAGTCTATCAAGTTTTTCTTCATCTTTTTTTGAAATATGATCTGACTTAACAAGTAATAAAGTTGAAACAAATCTCATCATATTATGCAATTTCAAGATATATTTTCAGGCCAAATAGGTGGCATTCTATCTTGTTTTTACTTCTGTTAAAACATCAAGTAGATTTTCAATAATATTTAGATTTTCCTTACTTAAGTTAAATTCACACTATGCTTCATGTAGGTATTATGTCTGTTTAGGTAATCTAAAAAAGGCTTGCAAACTTTTAACATAATGATATATGACTTTACATTGTTTTAGTTCTTCTTTAACTAACAATTATAGAGTATATATGGCATATAATATTGTTAAAATAGTTTTTATATAATAAATTTATTTCTTTAACTATATTTAAGCTATTATTGGTAGCTATAACAAAAACTGTTAGCTTAAGATACCATTTACAAATTATTCGAAACAACTTTTTACTAATTACTTTTCTAGTATATAAATGTACAAAATAGTTGCAAAAAAGTAAAGCTTCTTAAAACTTAAAATCTAAAAACAGCCAAGTTGCTGTAATATCTAAATATCTATAACAAAACTTGGCTGTTTATAGATCAGTAAACAAATGAACTGCTATTGCATTACTACTAAGTAAAGATTTCAATTGACTTTAACTCCAATTAAATGCTTTATGGATTAATTCCTTGGTAGTTTTATTATATAGAATTCAAAATTCAGATATACAAGTATATATTAACTCATAAAATACTTTATTTTGTAAAATATAAAATAGCTTGACAAATTGAATAATAAATTGAATCAATTTCTTGCAATTAGTTGTTGCATATATGATGAACATAGTAGTACTATATTATTAAAATAGTCAGTAATCTTGGCTTAATTATATTTTAGCTAGTAAGTAAAATAAATTATTATTTTTTTATTTTAACAGTAATTAATTACAATAATTTAATTAAATAACTAATACTTCATTATGTTCATCTAAGTAATCAGTATAATTATTTTTAATTATATTATGTTTGTCATGTAAATAAGCTATTAAATTAGATGTGTTGTTTCCTTTACAGCTATAGGAATAGGAATTTTGCCAAGTTCTGATAAGGCTACATTTATATATTTTGCAGTATGCAAATTCAGAGTTGTTTTTATTTATATAAAAAAAAA